CAAGCTCTTAATTAAATCCCTCGTAAGAATTTTGAGCTCTTCGCGTTCTCCCTTTAGAGCCCCTTAACAAGACAAGAAGATTTCTTCGGTATTTACTGTATCTAGTACATGAAATGTTAATCTTCTGCCTCTAAAGCCTGTATGCTACGCTTGATGTATAGGAAAAAGAAACTCAGTTGAATACGTTATAAATAAGTGGTATCAAGGTGCAACCAGCAGAACGGCAAATCGAACTATATATGTTTGCCCTCTGGCTTACAGCGTCAGTTACGCGAAAAGTACTTATAGATGACTGCGTCGCCTTGATTATCTCAATATCGCTAACTTTTGGTTCTGAAGGTTTATTACAACCAGGAACTCAATTTTTTCACCAAGCAGAGACTCATGCGGCTGTAGGATTATTGTGTAAGTATTATATTTTTTTTGTTTTTTGTGGACTCGAACACTTGAGTGCTTCCGTGCTATAATTTACATTCCACATTGGGTCAAAACCACCTAAGGACTGAAATTGATTCGGTAAAGAGATTCAATCTTTTACTCTGTTAACCAGAGGATACATTACTGCTTTTAGAACCCGGTGAAACCCGGCGAAATCCGAGCATTCGGTTAAAATAAATGTACATTTCCACCCACTCATATTTCGAATGCAAATACCGACAAGTACGCCTGAATATTTGACGTGGCATGGCGCTGTGTCGTGCTGACTGCTTGACTGTCTGTTTACCTCCGCTTTTCATTACGAACATAAGCGGCACGCGAATTAAATTGGGATTTTACGAGCTCCATATTTGCGCAGTGCCATACGTTCGAATTCCGATTGCACATGAGACCTAGACGAGGAGTGCACCTGCGTTCCGTTGGAGTATGAATAATGCATGTCATTCATTATAAAAATGCAGATGATTATGTGGAATGTGCGAAACAGGCTGTTGAACGCTTGTTGTTGTTGGTATTACAAATGTACATATGTATGTATTTATTTGCGATGTTCGGCCTTCACGCGATGCTATAATATTTATTTTTCAATTCGTCGCTGTGGTTTTCGGCAGAAAAGTTTCAATTTAATTTTAATAAATAACTACATTGCTCATATGAACCCAGATTCACAGTTATATAGCTGTACTACGTATATGTATGTATGGATGTGTAACAAGAATAGTTAATTGCGCTTAAAAGTTCAAATTATGACGCTTTCAAACACTGTCCAAATCACATTTTGTTAAGGCCGGAGGTGGAATTGGTTTGCCCTCGATTTGCATTTTTAGGCAAAAAGAAAATTTTATATGTAAAATTTATTTTGATAAGAATTTGATTGGCAGCCGCCATTACTAATTAATTAGAAACTATTTTGAATGTTTACTAAAAAATCGAAGTCAATAAAATTAAAGTTATTTTAGGAGAAAACTTAGTCCATCGCTCTAAACTGAGCTCACCATTCGTCCCGGTTTGGCCGGGACAGTCCGGATTCCGAGTTAAGCGTCCCGGCCGTCCCGGGCTTAGTAATTAAAAAATAATAATAAATTGAATAAAATTGTGTTGCTCTCCCACCTATTATATATCGCGAATTTCAATGAATTATATATATTATATCGATAACTAAAAAAACCGAACCCATTTTGCCCAGAAAAATATGGTCACCTAACTCTAAACTGCCTTCCAAAAGGTTACTAAGATTTAGCAGATGAACGGATCACCATTTCAGTGGTTCAGTTGGCTTACCACAAACCAAAGTTTTAGGTTTATAGTATTATAGACAGAACCGAAAGAATAAAAAAGAAGAAACAAATACACTCAGAGAGATGGAACAATTGAAAGTTTTGTAGTGTTTTAAAAGAGACTTTTAGCTTAGGCTTTAAAAGCTTATTCAGACTCTAAGAATAATTATATACCATATATCAGGAACGGTTAACAACCATGCCTACTTTCCATATAAGAATTTTTTATATTCCATTTAATTCTTTACTTTACGGTATACAAATCATATATCAATGAAGTTATCAGAATTAAACTATTCACAAATAGAGCTCTCAAGTTATTTCATCCTACGTCCAAGAATTGTCGAAAACGGACTATAACTTTTCAAAGACCCAGACACCAAATATGTCGATAGATGCCAGTGCATATGACAGCATTTCTTCTTTAATATTAAGTTTTGCAACCGCTGAATGTATTCGCTTGAGCTCTGCATATTGCGAGAGTATCCGAACTTAGCCCTTTTTTACTTGTTTGCTATACATCTGTGAAGGGTACTAGGGTATCTTCCCGGTTAAGACTTCAAACATCGAGCCACCGACTTATAACCAGTCTCTCAACTTCATGACTTGTGGCGCAAGAGAGAGCAAATTCGGGACATAAATTGTCATTTCAGTTTTTACTCGAAAAAATTTCAGTACTTTTATAACCCGACCAAAAAGAAATACTATGGAAGCTATAATGGTGGCGTAACACACACGCACTCCTTTGCACTGCTACAGCAACTTAGAGATAAAGGTTCCTTGCGTTTAAAGCAAAATCTCTAATAATGTTCAAGAGCTGGATTTTAACGTTTTTAAAAGAAAGGTCTGTGAAATATTTTTGAACATGTGAATTTGTGATATGAATAAACCATTATTAAACGAATCAAAATTCATCTGATGCTTGTCGTTTCTAACTTCTGTCAACTGGCCATCTCATGGAACAAAGAAGCGGCTGTTAGACCCTTGTTGGTTTTCCACGCATAAGACCAACCAGACTATAAGCAGATAAATTTATTGAAACACAGGTGGATAAACTTAAATATGGCGAGTGAGATATTTTCATAATCTTAGAAACAACTTTATTGATTTATTTAGAACACTCCTTGTAAAAATCCTCGTCAAATCAACTCGCAAACACTCTCTGAAACTCAACCGCAACACTATTTACGCTAGCAGTAACATCACGTCACTGCTATGCCGCCTCTACAAAGAACAGAGAGCAGCATCTCATTTTAACCCATATCTCGAGCTCGCCATATTTATGAGTGTTTGCATGCCCTTCGCAAAGTGGAAAATATTCTACTAATCCATTTCGCCTAATTAGTTAATTTATATTAAAATTCATGACAATGTTAAAGCACTAATGTGCTGGGCTGCGACGTGAAGGAAACCAAGCGCCACAAAGCTAGCTCAGCAGGGCACAGCATAACATTAACGAACCACAAGGCCGAGACTGGCGGCGGTTGTTTTGAAGAAAACATCAAGTGTTTACTCGGTTAACCAGAAAATTCATCTCGGCGCTAAGTGATTTAGTTACAATTTTCCACCAGTGTCGTGTTCTCGATGGCGCACAGTTTCCGGACGGAAGGTTGCAGCATCCAGCGGCTTTTTGCCACTTGTCCTCTCGTTTCGACACTTAGGCTATGTGCATTGTCAACTTTTAATGAATATTGCAGCAGTTAACTGTGTCTTAAATAAGCCGATGAATGCGCTTCGCCTCAACGACTACCCATGAGCCCAGCAAAGGAACTGTGTGAGTAAGTCAGGGTAAAGTATAGCCGGCTGTATCATCCCCGTCAGCGCTCGGTGCCAGCTTCTCGCTCAGCCGCATTTTCGATACGGAAAGTTCGCCGCAAAACCACAACTGGATATGGTAGGCCACGGCGACGCTCTGAAGTGGTCGTCGGGAAGTGACTGCAGCACAGTTTGTGCTCGTGAGTGTGTGTGATAATTTCAATGTGCAAAATATTGAGAAGCGCTAATTATAAATGCATGTAAATGTGAATGTATTAATTTTAAATGAATTTAGTTTTAGATATGACGTAAAGAACAGCAACCGAACTATTTTAATGTTGACACGTTTTTGCTGGATCTGCAGCTTTTCTCATTTAAATTCAACCGAGCAAGCACTTGGGGTTAAGGTCGTGTGCGGTCCATCGAGGAAACTTTAAGCTTCATCATTGCATAAGTTATTTTTGGATACATTTCACTCTGCAGCAGTTATGGTGAAGGAAAGATGGACATAAATGTAGCAATTTTCACTTAGTTTCTCAGATGGTGATGTTTCAGACGTTAACAAGAAAACTTTGAAGCCCATTTATTGTTACTTAAGAATAATAATAATTTTGGTTTAAGGTTGAACAATGTTCGCATTATCGGGTCTTATAATAGTTTCTGATTGCCGGCTAACACACCTCGTGTTCATACTCGGACATTAATAAATGCTTAAAATACGAAAAAACTTAAGCAAAGTAGCTGATGTCACGGACCGACAGTGAAGAATGATAAAAGGAGTAGATAAATGAAGCAATAATGAATTATATGCAAAAAAGCTAAACGGTGTTAGTTAGGTTAGATAAAGGTTAAATTATCGTCCATTGGGGTTTCATCTAAACGGAAAATGATAACTATTCTGGTGTGAAGTGTGCTGCATAAAACCAGCAAGGTGCTTCTAATGAAAATACACCAATTTCGCAAAACCTAGTATTTTTAATGGAGGTACCACATACAGTTGGTGTCTCCGACAAAATAGCAATAGCTTTCGAATAGCTAGCTGATAAAGTTAGAAATTAAATCTAAATTCAATTGCTTAAATTTTGATATTCTCAAACATTGAAGTTTAATTTTAAAAAAAAATCGCGAGAAAATGCTTTAAGCGCCAACCTAATCAAAGTAGCTAGTTAAAAGTAATTATTTGGCCACACTCCTGTTTTCATTTTCTAAACACATACATACCTGTGTATATGTATGTTTATGCACGACTGCGAATGCATGAATGTACAAATTTAGAACTGTGGCAATTGTTACAACTCGTTGTCCGAATTCGAGTCATTATTTCACTCTAATTACTGTGGAGTAAATTCGCATATGAGTGCGCTATGCATACACATACATATATGCATGCGCAACTGGGCTCAGTAATATTGTACAAATTCTACATTTTCACACAAGCCAACCACACAACATCAAGACGGATCCAACAGCGAAAAAAAAAACATAAGAATCGATCGAAAACTAGATCAAAAATGAATTTTGGTGAATGAATGAATGACAAAATTTAAGTTTTACATATTTTAGATACATATGAACATCGAATCAAAAACAGAGGATCTATGAAAAATATGTATGTAGGTATGTATGTTTGTCTTGAAAATTTGAAAAATATGAAAAAACAATGATGACTCTTCTAATATTTGCAAGAAAGCAATTTCGACAGATTCGAGACGGACTAGTGCTGGTGCAAATGGGAGGTCTTCTTCAGCCCTTTGGCTGTACGTTTTTGTCACGGTGTCGGTTGGTCGGCGCCGACAAAGCCCAACAATGGCCGCAGTGTTAACAATACTAACTACATCACTGCACCAAATACATGCAACAAAAATGCATAAGCGTCTACATAGGTGTTGCTTTAATAGCAGTGGCAATATCAGCGGCAAAGCCGTTAGCAAAGCACTCCAGCAGTCAAGCACAGCTCTAATGTGTGCCGACGTCCACACAATGCCAGCGGAAGCAAGGAGGGAAACGAGCATAGGTAAATGCCTGCATACCTCACCACACACACACACACACACTTACATGTACAAGCGAGGCGATTGCAAAAATGAGCAAATGAAAAGCATAAAGTGAAAATTGTACTGCAAACTCAATTCGAACCTGGTGGTAATACGAAAAGCAAGCACATAAATACGTAGCATGTGCAAACACACACACACACGTTTATATGCATTTGTGTGTAAGTTAGGCGGTGTTTGCGTTTGTATGTAAATATCAATGCACTTAAATGCTTCTTACGCACAAACACATGAATGCAGGCATGTGCGTGTGTGTGTATGTGTGCGTGCTCACTAAGTACCGTAATGTGTGCGCTGATGGCTTTTCAGCTTGTGGTTTCACTCTCTAAAGTGTGGCGACCGTTGCCGATCCTCAATAGCCCCGAAGGTGCGAACCACCCAGATACCTTCTAGACTTCCTTGCTTGCTAGCGTGCTTACGAAAACAAGTGCAAAACACATACTTACATATAAGTATGTAGAAGTGTACGTAATTATGTGGAATCCGAATTTCCACATAGTCAACTGCACAGATAGGAATATGCAACATGGTTCGCTGAGACGTTGCATGCCATGCAAGACAACAAAAATTAAACGATTTTCAATTAATTAAACTAAATGGAATTCGATGGTTACAGTCATTGATTTTCGAAAAGTAACTGGTGATGATGATTGCAGTGAAAACAAATTAATACATGAATTGAAAGGCAAAGCCAAAGCGATGAAGTCTGCAGGCGATGGCACTAACAAATGTACATAAGCTGAGCCGCTTACAATCATGCCTACTGACGCATTAGGGTCACCCTTTCTAGGTGAAAATAATGCAAATTCTGAACTAACATACTTTTGACATATAGAAGCTGAAGACTTCGTTGAAGGTTAAGCTGTATATTGTGGCACTATTTTGTTGTTATAACCAAATACTTTTGTTTAACAAAATTCTCCGAAAAACTTCCTTTAACCGACTTTGGACTGTCATTCGATGAATTTTTAAAGAAATAGAAGATTAATTTTTTCCTAAAAATTACAAAAACAACAAAAAATGTTAATATCGCCCACGTCGAAGCTATAATATCCTTCAAGGATGCATCGAAACAATATATTTGCGGATTGCAACTAAATTTCGGGGAGATATACATAGCCAATAAACGAGAGAGCAGATCGGTTACAATATCGAGCTCGTTCATTTTTTGCAAATATTTTCTTCAATAATTCACTACAATTAATCCCGGGCCCGGGTTTCCTCTCTACGACCCTGATGGCAGCTGTATACTATAGTTTTTCGATATCGGCGGTTGATATGAGCAGCTTCTTGGCGAGATAAGAACGTAGACGAAATTTCAAATAAATATCTCAAAAACTAAGATAAATGGACTGATAGCGTACATGGCTAAATCGACTCAGCTCGTCACACTGATTATTTAAATATACGCTTTATTGGGTCTCCAGCGCTTCCTGTTACAAACTTCGGGGCAAACTTAATCTACCCTGTTCAGGGTATAAATATTCATATGCTGCGATCTATAGTAATATAAATCTTTTTCTAATAGTTAAAAGTCTTAAATCTGCTTCGAAAATAGCTAATTTTCTGTTTTACCTATCAATAATAATAAATCAATTCATTTATAAATTCGCTTTAAGCTTCGGAAATATCAAAAAAAATTATTTTTTATACTGCGAAGCCTAATTTAAGTTATGTGCCGCCCTAATAATAAATAACGCTTCTACAAACATTCATAATTATTTACTTACACATACACACATGCACAGATGCACACCACTCGTACGGCTAACCGGCAATTGAAATAGACTTTCGGATGCTCACGCTCAAATGCACGACGAGTTCGTCGAAAGGAGCCCTTTACAAACGCTTGAATTGGAAGATTTCAAAATGTATTCACGGTGCTAATAAATACAAGTGCGAGTATCTTGTTGCAAATTGTTTACGCTTTAACTGCACTTGTGGCATGCAAACACATTGAGGCAATCGATTTTAATTTAATTAATTGGCCAACCTTCTCGGCTCTCGTGTTGTGCTAGCAAACAATCGCACACACACGCATACATATATTTGCAAGTGTCAACACGCCACATATACATACATACATATAAGTGCGAATTCCTGCATGATGAAGGGCTGGTTTTGTCCTCTCATTTTATATTTTTTGAAAAAGCGAAAAGGCAACAGATCCTTTCATCCACAACGACGACATTATCACACATGCAACTAGCAATAAGCTCAAGCGTTTCATATTTAATACTTTTTTTTATTTGCGGATGTTGGCAACGCTTTTGTTTTTATTGTTTTTACGCTCTTTTGGCTCTTCTGGTGGCATTCCCCATGCCAATTAAATCCTTACTCGCACACGCTCTAAATAAGTCGAAAAGAAGAAGCCACTTCTCGTGCCACTGTCTGACAATTAGTCGCAGCTCAACACATCAACGCGGCACACACACACATCCCCAGCACCTTCGTGCATTTATACTAGCTTTTGAGTATGTGTGTGTGTCCGCGCACAAGCAGTTAACCGGCTGGCAGCGCTGCATGCGTGAGCGCTTGCGCCAGTGCGGCAAACACTGCGTCAGTGTTCCTGTGGTAAGACCAGATGTTGAACTGGAAACCACAAAACCGGATCCAGTAGCTGTTTTCCGGCTGCTGCTGCTGCCGCTGCTGCTGCCTCCACTGGCGAATCTTGCAAATGCAAATTAATCACCAGCATTCTGGTTTCTTTTCAGCTACAAACAGCAGTCGGGCATTTGTCACCAGAGCGTGTGTAAGCACAGTCCTAACACCGTTACTTTTGTTGAATTCTGAATATATTTGCATAATATTTAAGAAAGCTTCATATGCTTATTTAGCTCTCAAGTTTTAGGCTTCAATACCGTAAGAATTCAGACATTGGACATTGGTGAATCTCAGTGAAATTACCCCGATATCTTAGGGAAGCTGCGGAGTCACCAGTGGAATCTTCGTGTTCACCAATAGAGGGATGAACTTTTATAGCCCCGTCAACTGAAATTTTGATGTAACATTGGATATTAGTGGTTTCTTCTCACAAAGCTAGAAGGTATATTTACAAAATTGATTCCCACAGTCATTAGCTTAAATAATTTTGAAGTATTTTGCTTCACTTTTCTGCTACGGAAGTTGTTCCGATATATTAAGTCCCCTATTCTATCTCATTGCCAGAACACTGAAATTGTGTATCTGTCAGAAGAGTTCGAACTTTACGTTTGCAATGAATATAAGATGGTATTGGAGAATGTAGCTTAACGCTTTACTAAAATCACATGATGACATAGCCTAGCATCATTGATTTCAGTTGACCAAGTATAATCGACGTGTCGATGTCGACCCTCAACAATTTCGCAATGTATAAAATAAATAATGGTTTGTTTCACATCACGCCACTTTCTTGAACTACGAAGTCCAGCAAGAATTTAATAAGAATTAGTTTCCGCGGTTAGCGATAAGGAGCGTAGGAATAGTCTTCTCGCCATTGCTGGCTGTAAGCTGGTGCCGGAAGTCTCACGTAATCGACACTTATTCGTACAAATGTAAATTACGACATAAGTAATAAGTATTGTATTACTATATAAGTACTCACCTATAGCATATACGGTTATCACAAAGCTGTAGCCGATATTTTTTTTGTAGTTTCGCCGATCATTTCTCCGCCTTTCGCCGCTCCGGGCAATCAGTTTAATGGGAATTGTGCGCAGCATATTCAAATGGATTTTTTGATCACTTTTAAACCAGAGCTGATTTGCGGCTAAATATGAGGCTTTTTTCAAATGTGTTTGCTAAAGTATATCAAAACACTGCACAAGCTTCCGGATTACTAATTTACTTTTTCAATTCCAACTTTTTTGAGTGTATTTATTCACTGTAATTTGGTTTTAGTTCAACATAAGCATTTAGCAATATTTAACCTTTTTACTTTCGCCAGCAGATAAGGTTCGCCGCCGCGCTAATATCGCTTCTATGAATAAGCAGTGAGAAACTTAAAATATTTCTGAAATATGGTCATTATCTAAATTATGACAAATCACAAAGAGGCAGCCATGCTGAAGTTCACCTGCACAAGTTAGAAGCGATTGTTCGGCGAAGCAACAACAACACCAAAGAAAAGCGCAGAGTGGAATGACCGGTAGCCACTGCCGCCCCCATTCATTTTCATTAGCAATATCACAAATTATGTGCGCACTTAGCGATAGTTATTGTGGTCATTGCCGCGCCACCCACACCCACACACGCACACCTATGTAAATCCATACAGAGCTAAGTGCTTGTGTGTGTGCCTGATACAGCGTAGAGTGGGTGGTGGCATGCAAGAAATATGATGATGAATTTCGAATTGTTTGCAAATGCAATCTTAAAAGGCGGCAACGCTTCACAGACATCGCTTTCAAAAATGTGCACTGTGTGGCGTGTGCAATACACGCATACAAAAACATCAGTTCTTACGAAGGCAACATATCGGAGGGGAATAACTATTTAATATTTACAAACAGTTTACTTGTGTTTATTTAGTTGCATAAATATTTGTACAACGATGCAAATAGCAAACCTATTAGAATGCACACATTGCTTAGCATTTTTTATTGGCATTTGCAGTTTCAAGGTTAATAGAAATATTCATTCGAGCATCTGAGATAACTCTAAGTTCACACTGACGTATTCAAAATACAACTTTTTAAGTCTTTCGACACGATCGACCTCGCAAAGGAACCAGCAACCGTTGCTGATTTTGCAATATCAAAGTTTACCACCAATGAGAGCGATCATCTCATCGAACTTTCTCGCTTTTTGTCTGTAAGGGACCTGGCTCCATTCCTTACAAAATTCACGTTGTATCTTTTTCCAACTGGAGTTCATATTCGATCCTAGTACATATTAAAGCGATGAAATAAACTCGCACCCCAGCAACATTATGAACTTCCTTAAATACACTGACTTTATCAGATTTCTTACACAACTCGCACTCGGCAGTTGACATCATCTAACTCTGTTCGCTTAAATAATGCCCTGAGGTGAGAACAAAATTATGTATAGTTCGTCCGATTGTGCAGAATTTGGCAACGTCAAGTTCGTAACAGGAAAATCAAAATCGAAAATATTAGTAAAAATTTAAAAGATAAATCTTTTTTTTTCATTCACACGATTTCATCTTAATACTATTGTAGTTGGCCTCTACTCAGTTTTCATACGCGATTTTTGGAGTAATTGTAGCATCTGGCTTGAATCGTCATAAAAGTCTGCTCGTACCCAGCTTGCAGCGCCTTGTAATACATATTTGCCTTTTGAATGTTTATTTCATGGTAAGATTTTATATTTGTCACTTAATGTTAAATGTTGAACGCAAAAATCCTTTGGGGAACGTGCTTAGATGGTGTCAGCTGCCCAGTTACGTTTGCTTACTGCTTGCCTCGTGTATTCGCCAGTGATAATCGCAATCAAGGCAATCATCATTCGGACACTTTTAATACTTTTCCCTTATCCCTTTAAGCGGCGCGTTGGCATTTGTTGGCAGCAGAAAGTAGCTGTTGTGGCAACAAAATATACTCGGTCTTTGGTAACTGGTTTTTGTTTTTTGCTTTCTTTATTTCGTCTGACTGCAGTTTTCAATTTGCTTCATGGTTTGCGCTTTTGCCAACGATTTCACCGACTTTAGCGGCGCTCTCGAGCTCAGCAACAGCGACAACAAAAGTTCAAAAACTCTGAAAGTTCCCAAGAGATCCATAGCATTGGCCTTTTAGTCGCTTCGGTATTTTGGTGGAAAATTGAAATTTATGTTTGTTTGTTTGTCAGTTTGTTTTTCATAAATGTGGTGGCTTGTGTGGCCAACAGCTTCGCCCCAGCAATGCGTTCAACAGTTGCGAAAGTAATGTGGTTATTACTCCTTTTTGGCGCTGGCCGGTTTAAATGGTGTTTTCGAAGAAAACTACTAAACATTTATGAAATTTAAAATCATTGAGAGCGGCTTCTACGAATCTTTCATTCAATGAACAAATTTATATGGCCAAATACTCAAAATCCAAATTCACCCAACTTTCTTTGTAAGCTCTATTATTATTCCTCCCCTATTTTTGGTATGCCAAAAGTAATAATTAGTGAGCAGTCTCCTCCTAAACCTGATTTTGAGACGTCACCATTGCCGGTTATTTGAAAACCGTTATATTATAAGTTTTTAGAAACAATTTCTTTGCCGAAAAACCACATTCGACTCAAACCAAGTCATCGTTTTTGCCATCAGGTTTTCAATTATTCAACATGTCCAAATGCATATACGTGTTAATGCCTGAAAACTTGCGCGTGTGTGTGTGTGCGAGGCTAAGACTTTCTCAAGTTTTCCCTTCTTTAAAGTACGAATTAGTTCTATGTGGTTAAAGAAAGTAATAAAGTTTGCTTTTGAATTTGAGAGAGATTGGCTGCTATGCGCGCACACAAACACTCACACACACACGCTTAACCAGTCGCACACAAGCAAACACAGTGCCATTGGTCAGTTATTTGTTAATTGCATTGCAAGGGATGCGGACCCTTTTTTAAATGATAGCTGGTTATAAAGCTGACTTTTTATGAGCGAATACCCGAAATGTAACGGCGATTGTTTACAATGGTGTGAGAAGCCATTTCGGAGCATTTTAATTATGCGAATTAGCGCTAATTTGAATTGTTGATCGCAGAGCGGCGCTAGCGAACTTGACAGCGAATTGATACGCTTCCAAGTTGTTTGCTGTCAGGTGCAATGGAGACAATCACAATGCACCAATTTCAAGAACATAAAAATAATAATTGCGAGTTTGTGGCAGCGGTTTTGCCCGCTTACGAATTTGGTAAATTGAATCTGAGGCAGTTAGAATATAAATAAATATTTCTAAATAAATATGTGGAGTTCTCAAAAGTAAATTATATATAATTATATACTACGCCCAATTCGCTAAAGCGCTATATATACCTATAATGTTAGTTTCTTCCAATTTACAATAAAGAACTCAGAAGCTAATGCTCCTGGATTGGTGCAAATCTATTTTTTTTTAGAGTAGTTCATATTTTCGTAATCTAGTACTTTAATTGAAATTGATTTTTTTTTTTTCGAATAAGTAATAGTTTGAAGAAAAACCCAAGAAAACATCCTACTGGTCAGTGACAGTTGGTTTAACAGTAATGTCTATAAAAATACTCTGCCATTAACTTATTTCAAACACTAAAAAATACTCATTGTTTTACTATGTCCGGTCCCAAACCAGCCAATATTGCGTTAACGACTGCTATTTGAGAAGCATAAAGTGCAATTGTGCAGAACATGACAAAGCTTTGAATAATATTATATTTATAGAGACTTATTAAATATATTTATGTATGATGCATTGAAGGTGCAGTCAAATGGAGTTAAGATAGTTTGTAGTATTTTGGAGTAAAAAGATCAGAGAATAATCGATAAATCTGTCTGAAATTAGCGACGGCAAATATCAGCAGAAGATGACTCTTTGAGCACTACAAACATTGAGAAATCAAGAAATTAAGTTCAGCGACTTCTTCTGCAAAGTTATGTTGTCTAAGTAGACCCAAAGGCCTCAAAGCATACAATATGGTACATGCTGACCGCGGAAAGAGAGAGAGGTTCTTTTAAATAAGAACCTATGCATCAAATGGCCTTTTGGAAACATAAAATAATTATAAAGAATTTTTTTGTTGTCTTGTATAATTTTATATTATCTTAACCTTTGAAGTCCATTGAACTCATTGAAGATAGCTGATTTTTATAGGCTGAAACGTAGCTGTCTCTTTAAGATTTAGTATTTTCTGCAAGCTCATTGGGGAGCTCTTTCCAACAGACCACCTACGCACATTTTGAGCGTTCTGAATTTCAATACTCTTAGCATGTGCTCCAAAGGCCATTTTAATAAGTAGAAGAACTTGGCAGCCCCAATTCATTTGACGTGCATACGTTGCAAAGTGAACTTTGAGCCTAAAAACAAATCAATTTATTTTCTTTAAAATTTGCAAATAAATTGCAAGGAACGAACTCTTAACTGCCTTAAAGAATGAACGCAGTACTGGCAAACGCATAAATAAGCAAAAAATAAAATATAAAAATAAAAACAATTCAAATGCGCATAACTGAACGTATGTGTATCGGTCGGCTGTATCAATTTGTAGATATTCACAGCACATTTTGAAATCACAAACAATAAACAGAACAACGCGATGTGTCAACAGACGCGCCCCCACAAAAAAAAACGGGAGACTTCGCCGCGTTCAGCAATAAAGTGTTTACGAAATTTTGATTATGATTGGTCTGTTGAAATATTTGCGTCAAATATGAGCAACGAAATACTTCAATCACACACATTTTTTGGCATTCATTCTCGCTACAGTGGCGTAAACCTTGATGCACTTTCCCATAAACACTCGCGTGTATACTGTTTTGCGCGCGAGTGTATTTGCACTTGCTCAAACACTAAAAATATTACACATCGCGCTACGCATGCACAGGTTCGCCAGCCAAACAAAAACTGAAAAAGAAACAAACCAACAACAACAAGCACAACTGCAATGCAAGCAGTTTGCCGCGAATTCTGTTTAGTCGACACAGCTTGCACCAGTGCATAGGTATACTGCAGCAGAAGCGGTGTGACAGTTCAGCGGCTAATCAATGTACAAATGAACTTAACAGGTTTTTCAAGAATCGACAATGAACAATGCTTCCGGTCGACCGGCACCAACAATAATTATAATAACTTTTATGGAATTTAAATATTCCATTCGTCAACTGTCAACTGCTCACCCACCCAACGGTATGGTATGTGCGCGGTGAATGTTCGAAGTGCTTTCGATTTTGTATCCAACGTGGCTGATATTTATTCTGTTTATGACTCGCACGCGCCGCCCCCTACGCGACGACACAGAGCACTCGAAAGACGAACGAAAACTGGCGCTGCTTACACGTCGGGGTGCACAGCACGGCATGCCAAAACTGAAAACATGCGATGGCTATGCTCCAACAACAACACCGACGCAACAGTAATAGCGCCAGCAACATTGAGAAACAAAGCCGAAAACAGAAACGTAAACGAAAACAAAGATACGGCGATAAAAACACGTGAAGCCGTGCTGAAGCAACATGCTGCTGCTCACTTGGATGGCGGTGGCCACGTTGGGGGAATGTTGCGCAACAAAGCGCCGCGGCCAGGCAACAGGTTATAGTAAGCAGCAAATGTCAGCAACAGTGTATAGGCAAGCGAAAGCGCTAGCAAAACAAAATTGCTGTAAAGTGTCGGTGGTTGTACGGCGCCTTCGTGGGGGCCCGACAGCCCACGTTTATGAAAGTTGCCGCTGTTGGTTTTGTTGCCCAGCAATGGACTATTTCTATACGATCTGATAAACTTATGAGTATAGACATTGATATGCAGATACACATGTGTGTATGGATGATATATGTATACCTATTAGTGCAAGTGTAAACAAACCCGAACCTACCATAATATTTAGTTAATCTGAAAACCTGCTATATTACTAATGGTATATGCAGTATTAAGTTGACATGGCCAGCTGACAATTGCAACTGAAAAGGACTCTAAATTTCGCGGCTTTGAATATTGGAAAAATTGTTTATTGATATTTTATCTAAAAGATGAGGCCTAAAAATCAGACAACTTCATTCAAAAAATATCACACAGGTAATCAATTTGAAGATATATATAATAATCTTTCAATATTCCTATAAGACACTGTAGTACATAATAAAATATCACATCAGGGTTGGTCTTAAAACCCTTTCGGCGAATCAGTAAACATAGCCGAAACTAACATTAGTCGACTCAATAAATTTGTGATAGGCTAAAGTGCTTTGTAGAGTTGTGAGCGTGTTTATGATCCATTATACAGGTATTTTAGGTACCACAACGGATTGGCCAATTATCCAAATGAGATCCTTGTAATGATCGACCTCTTAAACTAACCTATCCCAATCTTAAAACCAACGCATTATATCGCGATGGACATAATGATAGACTTCAAAGCTTTGTTTTTTCACCGAAAGAGCACTTTACTTCTAAACAATGGGTGTCTAGTTAGATATATTTGTATCACGTTGGACTTCTAGGATGATCTGTTGTCAAATGAAATTTTATTGAAATAATGTTACACCAATTAAGAGATAAGAGACTTCCAACACAGCAACCAGTATACTCGACGTACTTAATATTAAAGATTTACTGCGTAGCCAGAAAATTAGTAAATACGCCATGTGTGATACATATACGAGTATTTGGTTAATGTAAAATTTCATTGACCAGGTAAATGCTTAAATTATATGTACATATAAACATTGTTATCGCTCGTTGCAGCGCACATAGATATTTACAAATATTTCATATATAAGTATACAATATAAGCTGATACGAATAGCTTATCTCTTCCTTAATCTCTATGTATATTAATTACCTGGAATAAATTCTATTTTGACCCGCTGACTTGCGATTTACCCAATTGTCGGATTACACCTGCCAATCACCATATAATACTCGTATTAACAATCTCTTTATTTTTAAATCGGATGCTATCGCTTTATTGTGGGAATTTTCAATGCCTCCTGATTAGATTATTTAAGCTAATCCATTAACGGTATCAGTTGATGGGTCGGTATTTATAATATAAATCAATATTCCGCAAATAACAATAAAGATAACATTGATTCGAATAAATTGATTAGTTAATTGTCTCAATATTTGTTTGTATGTATCAATATGTACTAGCTCATACATTAGGGTGATCCGACATATACATTGATATAGGTATGAATATGTATGTCATTTCGGGGTCATACATACCGCAGATGGTAAAGAATAAAATACAGCAAAACTATGATGAAACACGACAAAATAAAAATCGAGTTAACCATTTTAACCGCTTTTGTGGCACAATCCATCTTCCACTATACCATTTCAAATTTCATAATTAAATGCCGACGATGAGGCTACAAATTTAGTATCTTTCACACTATATCTTAAATAGGAAGAGAATTCTTCTGCAAACAGCAAAATCAAACTGAATATTATATATCGGAAATAGAAAGTGTGGCTGTTAACTCTATTAATGCACTTGAGCATCCCGAGACCGAGGCACATCCAATCAAATGTGAGCTGAGCTTGTGAGGTAATTACAAAATGTATATGCCTGTCTATTTTAGGACCATATGAAAGCCCGTGTAATTATACAACTCGTCAATTTTATCAAAGTCAATTTTATCGTCAAATCAAAATCTTCGCCGTAATTAGCTTATCTAATTCATGGGGTTAAGTAACGCACTACTTCTAAGCAGATTTAGATTGCGAACCCAGCTTTATAACATATTGTTGCTCTGTGGAACTCTCCAGTAGTCGGATAAAATTCAAGCGCACTCCAAACTCGAAAGAGAAGGTCGATCAAGCATCTAGATAATATGTGCATATTCTCGTATACATCTTAATTTTCCGAGATCTTTATAATAATTTTCTAATTTTACAAAGTCTAAGCTAACTCATCTAGCTTTTAGAGGTACTCTTAACTGGCCATTGGTGTTATGCTCATACCAGTGAAAAAGATCAATTAGTTTTTATACTTCTAGTGACAAAATTCTAGGTACTGGAGTCCATTCACAGTTTAAAAAGATTTAACATCCAATTCACTGTTATTTTAGAGTTGAATCAAGGCTTTCTGCAAATCATTTGCAAACGAAAACCAAGCTCTTAAGAATCTCATCAATTAAAAAACTAGATCTAGTCAATTTTTGCTTATATAGGTGGCCTTTATACCCATTCATGCTTATTTATATATAGTTATGTAACATATGTACATCGGTGGTTATGTATTTGCTGTTATTAAGGTAATATTATTGGAAGTGAAGGAAGCAAAATAAACATGATGGTAATATTGACTGTTCAATCTTTATTGCACATAATATGCATAAGTACACTAAGCTTAGTACACGGAAAGCAAATTTTATAGTTATAACAAGCGTACATCTGTATGCACATACTTACATAGACAACAGTATAACTATCTGCATGCAAATCTGTAACGCAGTCTTCCTTGCCTAGAGAGCTACATATCTGCCAATAGGACCCAGTAAAATTTATTCACTGTTTCGCCACTAAAATTCTATTGCTCTATGGCAACATTCAAATGAAATCTAGAAGCCAAAGCAATGAACTCATTCACACTGTGGCGAATTCGAATTTTTGCTGCTGATAGACTGGCCTCGGCTCTAGTGGCTTGCGGTGGATGCCGCACACATAAGTCAATGGAGGCTTATTTAAATACATGTATACATACATTATAAGTGTGTGTGAATGTGTGTATGTGTGAATGCGTCCTTGATTTTGGCGAGTGGCTGACTGACTGCCGTTAGTGGTGTATTTACTTAGCAAATGAAGCTGAAAATGAATTGAAATGATGTTGGAGTGTTTTAGCCAATAAAACACTTAAATATAAAGCAGGAAGACAAGCTAATGCTGCAAGTCATAGCTAAATGGTAAGCAAATATTTATATAATACCTTGCGCACATACATACATATGTACATATTAATGTGCATTGATACCGACGCTTGATGCTGTGAAAAGTCAATAAGACAATGTTTACTTTCTAAAGAACAAAAACCTACTTAAGCAAATGGGCAGTGGGCATTTACGGTTACTTGTAATTACCGCCAGGGGCGTTTATTTAAAATGTGGTGAATTAGGAAAATTAATATCGGCGGTGTTGGCGAAATATTATTTAAGCATAATATAAATGTAGATTTGAGCTTCTAAAACTATTCTAGGCATTTTTCAAAAAAACTTGTGATTAGCAAACGCTAAGTGATGTTTACACAAGTGGCAGCTATCTAAGCTGGAGATTGGCCCTAAAGTTTTTTGCTTTTGAAATTTTGATTACGGTCAACATAATTTGCTTCGAAAAGCCGTTTGGATCAAACAATTTCTTAAAAATGCCTCAGGTTACTATTGAATTATGCGTCAAGGATTTAATATTGAAGGAACTATTAGTAAATTTCTATGATGAATAATTTATTTTAATGCCGTTAAGTCTTTCACTTGAATATTCTACCAATGCAAATACACATTGGTAGAATGGCCAACTTTTATTTTTGATGAGCCCTTTTCTCTGTCTTCATACCTGAAGAACGCGTGTGCAGCTTCTTCTATTTACAAATTTCGGTTGCGGATTTCTTCAATTTAAATTTTTTGTATTTTTTACACTGACAGTGTAAAACAAGAAGATAGGGAAACCCCGACCCATGTTGCGACTGAGACAAAGACATTCTTTTCTATTCTTCAAAATAAATTTCGAAGTTTAAATTGCGCGCAGCGTCGCCCACGGGCAGCTACATATGCAGTAAGTAAAAGTTCAACTTACTGACCCCTAAATCAGCCCATTGATTTGTACACCGAACACGTGCGAAAACTTCATAGAGTGCGTTGGCAGAACGCAAAATATATGTCACCAAACTAAATTGGTTTGTTTATTTATGAACATAATTATATATATATATATATATACTGAATACGATATATGTATACCAGCATATTAGCTATAGTGGTACTAACTTATCGCATTCAAATTTTGTCAACTGTTTAAAATTGTAAAATAAATTTTAATAATATCTCCTTGTCATTAACGTTCTCTAGTAATAATAAGAAAAGTTTCCTTGATAAACTTTAAAGTATTTCTCCTAAGCTAAAAATTGCTATGAAAACCATTGGCTGTCAAATTTTAATATGTAAGCTTTCAAGCTTTCTTTCATGTACAGGGTGTCAAATTGAGCAGATCTAACGCTCTTGTACATGGAGTAGAATTTTAAATCAGCAAAACGGTTATAAAACTAAATTAAATTTTATTTTAAAATGCTTAATGTTTTCTCAGTGAGCACAAGCTATGTTCCATGTGAACACAGAATTAATTAATTTCAGCTTTTAAAATCCCATAATTTACAAATTTAAAAAAAAATGATAACGTGAGTAACTAAAAGCGCTGGAAATAAACTCAATCACAATTTGTTCGACTGCTTCTATCGACAAAGAAGCCCCCTCAGTTGAATTACAGATCACTAATCTTCAAATCATATGTAGTTGTAGCTATATTCCGAATATGTTGGCTACCTTTAAAGCATTTCTAACCCTAAGGTTTGATGTAATCAGCTACTCTAGAAACAGCTTTTCATTGACATATATGTACTTACTCACGTGTTGGCCTTTTGCTTCAAAACATACCCCAATCTCGACAGTTCTTTTCCAGGGACCAATACCTTTAGAGCCAGACGTTAAGAAATCGGTTTTAGAGTTTCGGATTCAATCTACTGTAAATACTGTAATTATGGATTAAAAAACCTGAATATTTTGAAACATTTTTTATTATCATTTTTATCGGAAACATTAAACCAGATTTCATGAAAATGTACTCATTTTTACACCATATTTTCACCGAATTATAATTTATTCTTCACAGCTAAAATAAGTCCTGTTAAGTTCTAATCCGTGCCCAAATATTACGACCCCAGGGTATTGGAAAAATTACTTCCCAGGTCCTAAAATCAAAATAAATCTATCGGACAAAAAAGTGTATTTTGAAGAATAAGTCAATACTTATTTTTAACGACCACCGTAAATTCCAACTTATATGTATATATAATATAAGAAAGAAAGTGGAATACAATACTTCTGAATTTAAATTATAGAGTGGTAATGATTGGGGTGCGGTGATTGGTTTTAATATGGTCGCAATATTTCCGAAGAACATTTTAGGCTACCATTCGAATACATGTGTTACCTGGGGTCTACTCGCAGTACTACCTCAAGGGTTCCGTACCCTGTTCCTAAAAATTTTCCATAAAAGGGAGGTACAAGCATTCTTTAGAACTTTCAATACGGAAATGTCACTAATTTTTGAAGAGTCTGAATATTTTCGTATACAATCTACAAAACCGGATACCATAGGAGCAGTTTTATCACACAACCCATAAGGTTTGGCTGCTTACATATTGGAAAAGTTATCCGCTTGGAAAAAGGAAAAAAGAGATAAACAAAACTGTAAAAAGTTAACAAAATCATAGGGTCAACGAAGTAAATTAACCAATTCCTTGTTTTGATGAAATAGTAACTTGCTTCTTTATTTCGTACTGTTTGATACATAAAACGCTGTACGCATTTCTTGTGATGTCACAAAGAATAAAAGCAAGAAAAAGTTTTTTAGTAATTCTCTTGCATGAAAGCAAACTTAATTTGAAACGAACTGATCCACTTAGCCAGTGTTGTTTCTATTCGACGTAACTCTATTTGATGATGTCCTTTCATCTGTTTGATTCGTCACTATCGAATTTTTTGCGTAAATTCGTTTTATATATTGAATCTGCAATTTTGATTAATTCAAATGCTGAAAAGCTTCACTTCTAAGCGCCGTTAAATTATTATGAGAAGCCATAAACACACTTTAATACTTCACGAGTTAGTAGCGAAACCGATCGGACCATGTTTTTTTATGTACACACGTGCCCCATAACACATTCAAGAATGTTGGGATTTTAACAATGAATAGCAAGAAAATGAGCCCTAAGAATTTTAGGTAAAACAAATAAAAAATCAAGATTCAATAGATAACTGTAAACTAACTTAACGGCACTGAAAAAAAAGGTCTAGATAAGATTAGGGAAAAGAGCAAATATATGTAGGTAAACTCTATTTTTGAAATAGATACTGTGAACTTAATAGTTTTTACATAAAACGTAAAAATTAACAGAGCTTTGCTCGATATTTAGAAAGATACTTGTTAGAGATTCTCTCATATAGAATAATAACTTTTTACAAAAGTAACAAGTATAATATTTTCTTTTTAAGCAGTCCTATCTGCTAATATACCAGGTTATACGTACAGTGAATCAAAAAAAAATTGTACAGAGAGATGTTTTGACATTTCTCTTTAACTATTTCAGCTTTTAAACTGCAACCAAGAGTAATAATATAATAATCATATGTATTTTTATAAAAGTTTTAACAATAAATAATCAAAATTGATTAACGATTGCAAAAAATTTAAATTTCTCACTTTTGAGCAACCAAAAAAACGTGTACATTTACGTTGGCAACACATCAAATGCAGGTACCGTTATTTTTTTCTGGTATTATTTGCGTATGTTCAAAATATATTTTTTTGGAATCGAATTTCTTTTGTGCGTTTGTAGTTTTTCAAAAAACAATCTCAAGATCTACAAGCTCTGGTAGTCAAATATTGGCAAGAGAACAAAATTACTCTCGAAATAGACAACATTTTCAAAAACCCACATACTATTTTTCAGTACATTATTGCTAAATTCAAAAAGGCTGATGGAGTTGAAAGACTTGATGGTAGTGGAACGCCCAAAAAAATTTGCCCACCCCAGGCTGAAAGTAAAGTGTCAAAGAACAGCCCAAATTATCCGATGTCTCTAACGCCAAGAGGTTGGAAGAAGGCTAAGCGCTTAAAGTTAAAAAGTTAAATAAGACTGTCAGCATGGACGAGGCTCCATTGTGTGGTGTGTGGTGCAATGGAAGCAAGAGAAGTGCAGTAACCTTGTGTTTGTCAAAGGAATTATGTAAAGAATGGACTACTTGGCAATATCAAAAATCCATTTGACTCCATCAGCTTTTTAATTGTTTGGAGAAAACTGAATTTTTTAAAATATACTTCAATTAATTTAATAGTCAAAAATCAAATCAAAAGTTTTAATAGTTTAGAAGTTAAGTCACTTCAATGTAAAACCAGGGAGATGGTACAAGTACTGGGTACAAGTTTTTTTTTGGTTCACTGTATGTACATACAGTAGTTCGAAATTTTGATTTGGTTCTCAGTTCACCAAAACTTCAGAACTCTTCTAAACAACATTTAAGTTTCAGCAGCCTTATCTCGGTATATCTTAAAGCACTCGACTCTGTCAGTCAAACAGCCAATCTACCTATTGCTTCAATAATGTATGTATATGAACGTATCCGTCTCTAAACGTCGAACCAACTGCGAACTGATAACAAAGCAGATAGATTAATTAGCTTGCAGCGTGGTCACAATCTCAACGGACGTTTAGCAATACGCAAAGACCGCAAATAATAGCCAACGCTTGAGAAGAGTGCAGTTGAATGAAAAGTTACTGGCGCGTAGTTAAATTAAATTAAATTTCGTACTTAGAATAAAAATGCTAGGGTTTAAGAAACTTCAATGGCCTCTCGGTATTATTTGCATTATCGGCGCTATATTCGCTTATAGACGAATAAACTCGGTGTTTGAAACTGAGGTCCCAAAGGTAACGCTACATCAATGGTGGGGGGATGGCCCGGAACCGAAAGACTGGGCTGCATATGTGAAGAATTCATCGGAGGTGCTTAGTAATAGACTCATATTCCCAGATTCGGTATGACATAGTTAATTGCCGTCAATAATTCATACTAATCATAACTTTTACGCACCTCCTCTTGCAGACCATTGACGATCTGCGGCAGAGATTGAATCGCACATTACATCTGACTGAGTCAATGAGTCCAGATTTTAGAAATGGTTTCAACACTAAGGAATTACTGAAAATCGTCGATTATTGGCGTGATAACTATATGCCACGTTGGCGCGAACGTGAAGTGTTCATGTGGCAGTTCAACCATTTTACAACCGAAATTCAGGGGTAAGTTTTGGCAGAAGAGGAGATTCAAACGATTTTCGAACGTAAATATATTTTCAAATATGCTGCTTCTGATTCAGAGCAAATATACCTTCAACCTACAATAAACCTAACCGAGTGAATTTTGTGCGCGTCTAGTGTCTTAAGAATTAACTTGCGAAGGTCAAATTTCTTTACAGCCTACGTATGCATTTTTTACATTTAATGGTTTATGATGAGAACAAGGTTGGCAAACACCATTACCCTGTACTTTTGCTACATGGATGGCCCAGCTCAATACGGGAATTTTACCCGCTCATGCACAAGCTCCAGCAAACGCATTTCGATAAAACGAACCCATACATATTCGATGTGGTAGTGCCGAGTATACCGGGTTTCGCTTGGTCGCAGGTGAGTTGCAACAACTATTAATTGCTGAACATCTCTTTGACGAGGGCTTTTTTACAGGGTACTTCGAGGGAAGGTCTGGGACCAGTTCAAATTGCCGTCATTATGCGCAACTTGATGCTTCGCTTGGGTTATAAGAAATTCTTTATACAAGGCGGTGATTTCGGATCGGTAATCGGCTCACATATGGCAACACTGTTTCCAGAAAATATACTTGGATATCATTCAAATTTATGTGCTGTATTCACGGTTAGATCGGTTATAAAGGGAATACTAAATGCCATAAAGCCAAAATTTTTCTTTCGCCATGGCTTTGAGGAGATGTTCCCACATTGGGAGGTAATAAAACGTTTAATTGAAGAAACTGGATACTATCATCTACAAGCAACAAAACCGGATACAATTGGCGCTGTGCTCTCTGACAATCCCGTCGGTTTAGCCGCTTACATTTTGGAAAAGTGGTCTTCTTTGACGAATAGGTATTATAAAGATAGCTCCAATGGTGGTCTGCGTAAAAGCTTCAAGTTGGATGCGCTCCTGGATAATGTAATGATCTATTACTTGACTAATTCCATAACGACCTCTTCACGTATATTCGCCGAACATCATTCCTCTGAGCAACGCGAACTGCATATGGCTAGTGTTCCGACGGACGTGCCGACGGGTTGCGCACGCTTCAAACACGATTTGATACACTTTCATGACAACCAACTAAAGGATAAATATCGAAATTTAATTCACAGCACATACTATAAAGATGGTGGTCACTTTATTGCTTTAGAAATGCCCAAATTGTTGTATGCAGACTTTATAGAATTTGTAAAGAAGGTGGAGAAGTTTAGTAAGCTATAAGAAAGCCTTGTTAAAATTTAAAATATTTTCGTTCTAAAGTTGGTGTGGCATATCACTACTTAAATAAAATATTAGACGAATTCTAAATTTAAATTTAAAAAAAAAATTTTTAGAATCTGCCATGCTAAAGTCGAAAGATAAATAAAAGAGAACACACGAGGATTTATATATAGTATATATTTAGAAGAATTTACTATTGATGCTCTTATTGACTACGTCAATAAAAATTACAACAAAATCGTTTTCGCAAAAATAAAAAATTGAAGTCAAAAACTCGATATTTTCTATGTAAAAATAGGAGAACCTCCTTAAGTGATTAAACAATCTACAAGTAAATGAGTTATTTGTATATGTAGTTTTGTGCTATTCTTATTAACGTAGCTTGGAATGGAAAAAATGTAATTATAGTTTATGCAGACAATTTTTTCGTTTCAGTTAAAAATAATTTTTTTCCTACCGGGTGGGTTGCTTATTGGGTGTCATTGTTTCTTTGCCAGCTCCTTTATTGTGTTTGTTTTTATAGGTATTTGGGCGCCAATTCTGTGCAAAGTACTGGTTTATCCGTTATTAAAAGCAATTATAGGAAAATCATTTAAGGCATTAACTATCTTAGTAATATTACAAAAAGTGAGAATTTTAATAATTATAAATTATAGAAATGAGTACCCAAGCCATGGTGGATGTAAAGACTCCAGTTGCTCTAACGCACTCTTCTTCAGAGAAGTTGTCGCGCCATGAAATGTTGCGTTGGATTAATACAACCGTCCAAGGCGAATATACGAAAATTGAGGAGCTCTGCTCAGGTACTGGTGATATTTTGTTATATCTGCCCAAGTATAATAACGAATTTAAAATCTGAATAGGTGTTGCTTATTGCCAAATTATGGAAATACTCTTCCCAAATTCGGTCGGTATGAAAAAGATAAAAGTGAGTGCAAAATTGGAACATGAATTTTTGCACAATTTAAAACTCTTCCAAATGGCGTTCACACGTATAAACTACGAAAAGTCCGTGCCCATTGAACGTTTGATAAAAGGACGATTTCAGGATAACTTCGAATTTCTGCAATGGTTCAAGAAGTTTTATGATGTGCATGCAGCCGGTAAAGAAAATGTGAAGCTTCCAAATACGCAAAAGCAGCAAATTAATCTCAAGGCAAAAACGACGAAAAAATTACTAAACCGAGTAGTTTCGGAAATGACACCACCAACAGCGAATTCAACGCAGCTTAACGTGGATGAAAATGGTTCACCAAGAAGCTTAAAATATTTGCAAGAGACTCGGGATAAACTCGCTGAGCAGGTTTGTGCATAATGATAAACATCTTTTCTTATGCGAATCTTGAAATTGCCTCTTTTTTTTATGACCCTTAGACCTCTGCAATATTAAATGAGAGAAATTTTTATTATAAAAAACTAATCGATGTGGAAAATGTGTAAGTTAAAAACAAAGTGCATTACTCTCAATGAATTTCTCAAAAATTAACCAATATATCTAACAGTTTGAAGGAATTCACAGATCACGACGAGCTGTGTGAGCGTGCAATGGCCATATTATATGCTACCGATAGTGGAGTTCCAGAAAATGGAAACAATGAATCGGGATGCGACACAGCGGAGTTGTAAATTTTTATGTTCTTTTTTTTTTGTAAAACATTTATTTTTACATATTGTATTTTTATTGTGTTATTGGTTGTATTCAAATTTTATTTCGATAATAAAACGTTTTATGTAAAGTATTTAATTACTACTATCATTTTCACTACTACTATTATAATCACAGACCAGAGCCAAACTGTTTGGCAAATTAATTATTTTGGCTTCCTCTTTTTCTAATTTTTCGTTTTGACTGTTGTTCTCCAACGCCGCACACTTTTCTGTTTGGGTATGATTTTCATCTCTTGTGGTAACTGTTTTTTCTTCAAGTGTACGTGGTTCGGTTTTTTTTTTAATACCCAAATCTCCAAATTGTAGATGCGTATTTAGTATTTTCTGCCTTTTCAGTCCACCGAACGTTGTTTTGGTAGCACCTGGGAGAGCAGGTTTCATTAATATATCCAATCTCTTTTCTGCTTCTCTTTCTTGGGCTGATTTGCTTTGCAGCATCATCAACTCAGCCATTTGCTTATCCTGTGCAGTTTCTGGTAAAAGCGCTATATCAAGGCTATTTCTCGCAAGTAATTGATCATCAAGTTCTTTTTGTGCTTTTAGTTCCTTCTTTTTAGACTAAAAGTGATTTACAATTAATAATTACTTTTAAATATTGTTATAAATATGACTAAAGCACTTACCCGAAACTCTGCTCTTAAACGGCAGTTCGCTTCGTAACTGTCATTCCAAACACCTCGATTACGTTCAACTAAACGTTCGAGCACCGGTTTTGCATCCTCCCCAGCTTTGGCATCTTTGGCTTGATGTTCCAACTTATACATCGGATCATCGAATAGTCGTTTTTGTACTTCCTTGGTCTCGGGTACAACCTGCTCATTTTGTAACGGATCCCATCGATTCTCTTGTCGGCGTGCTCCGGATAGAATAACATAATCCAAATTCCCGGGATCGGTTTGAATTTCAAAATGATTATCGCATAGGTGACACTTCATTCGAAATTTGTAAATAGGAGTTGAATAGTACATGCCCACTTTTGTCTTTTCAGCATTGTAACGAACACCCATTCCAATATGATTTTTACATCCATCACACCATATATTGTAGGGCATTTCAAAACGTATAATGATTATGCCCAGATGAATTTTTCGGGCCCGCTCGCGTAGTGCATGCGTGCCACGAAATTTATTAAGTCCACCCTTCTTGGGATCATAATCAGGGGGATAGTACTTATTTTGTCCTTTGCGCTCACCCATTTTACTTTGTGTATTTAAATATGTTTAGATGTATTTTACAAAATTATTATACTAAATATTTTGTTTATCAATACCGTAAGGAAATAAATGGGAAATACTAAATGTCAAAATGAAGAATAATTCACAATAAAGCATACTAATCAGCTGTTTAGCCACAGTGGCGCGTATGTCGTCAATTCGCTATGAGTATATAAATAGTATATTTAATATAGTAGATATTTAGTCACTTAAATTTTAGAGTAACATTATACAAATTATTTTCAAATTAAAAATATCGCAACATAACTGATTAGATTTATTACAATAACAATTAATTGAATCTATGAATCGATTTCTCTGAATTTCCGTTTCTATACATTTATAGACAAAAAACCCAATTTACCAAATTTTTAACTCATAATGCCATAGTCAGATATTTTGTTTTGTTTTTATGAATCAAAACATAATTTTCAAACAATGATAACTGAATACGAATAGATTGTAAACACCACAAAATCAACAAAATGTGAACACGAAATTCATGAGAAAAACCAAAAAAAATAAATGTTTGACATTGTGGGTGAAAATTTTTTTTGTAAGAATAATGGTAATTTCGGAATGCTTCATCTCAAATTAAAAGTAGTTAGCCCTAAGTTCTACTAACATCGCATTGAGCTTGCTTATATAACGCTCGGATTGCTATCAAATACCTGAAGTGGTATATATTTTTCATACTATACAATGCAACACTGCAATATTTACTTCTTAAAAGTCGTGGCAACTGCCTGAATCCAATTAAATTAGTATCTGTCATCGAATAACTATCGCGTGTTAGTGAGATTGTAGATATTAAAAATTGGTGTGGATATAATACCAAATATGATAATTTATACCAACGAAGGAAATCCATTTGGATTAAAGTTACAATTGTTGGCGAAATTTGCCAATAAACCAGTGGATGTCATTAAAGTCACGTTAAATGGTAGAAGCAAGGGATTGATAATCGAAACATATATTGTTTAAATGACATATAAGAGTGATTTGTCACAGATTAGTAAATTTCCATGAATTTGAATAATGCGATAATAATATAACAATACAATCTGATGCAATAAGCAATTGTTATTTCCAGACCCAGCCTGCAAAGAATTTTTAGTCTTGCCAATATTGGAGCTAGAAAGTGGTTTGAAATTGTTTTCGACGGATGCGGTTGCCAGATATCTATTTCCGGATGAAGGTGCCCTTCGAGATGAGGTTAGTATAAATTAGAAAGTAAAGTAAATTTAAAATGCTTTTTAAAAATTGGGTAAATGTATAGTTCAGGTCCTCCAATGAAGGAGGCCCCGGAAATGAAAATTTTTTTTTTAAATCGTCTTATTTTGACGCGGTTATAAATCCTTAAGCGGAAAGTGATTTTTTCAAATAATTCATGTACAAATATGTATGTATAAAAATATATTTAACCACTGCACATATTTTTCAAGTAACTTTGTTGTTGTAGCGGCAGAATTCTGTAGAACTCGGATCACTTAACTGTAATTACAAGTTCAACGAGTTAGACATTTTCTTGTGAAAAAAAAAAAAATACTGAAGAAATGTAAGTCACAATTTCTTTTACGCAACGATCTGAATGTATGGACGAATGGAGGAGCTCGTCGAACACCTTTGAGCACTGGCTGGTTCTGCAAAAAGGAGTTACCACGCGAAAGACCATGTGCAAAGTGTGTTAATTTAAGGATTTTTGTGGTAAAAATTTATTTATTAAAAGAAAAAAGAATTGTTGAAAAAAATTAATTTTGCGCTTTCTGATTTGTTATACTCGCGTCAAAATAAGACGATTTAAAAAAAAATAATTTTCGCAGCCTCCTTCGTTAGGGGGACCTAAACTATACATTTACCAAAAATTGTACTTTAATTGTATTACAGTGGTTAGAATGGTCCACGGTAAAATTGGCACCCGCACTGTCCCAACATTTGGCCGTCGGCCATCGTGCTAATCCGGACGCTTTACCTGTTCTTAATTTACTAGTTAGAAAATTAGATGATCGTTTGGCAGACTCTGCCTTTATAACGGGAGATAAAATAAGTGCAGCAGATATCGCTGTGTGGTCCTTGTTGGCACCCGATGGCACATTGAAAGGTGCTCAGAATATAGAGCATCTTAAAGCATGGTATCGAAAAATTACTGCCCTAGCTGAAGTTCAAGCGGTGCTAGCAGAAACTCCATTAGCTGGCTTAACTTTCACATCTTTGCAAAATTCCAACCGTTATGGTGGTCTCAGCCATGTTCCCATCCGCGTGCATACAACATCTGAGTCGGAGAAATTACTAGCCGATACAACTGGAAATTTGGCAGATACTGTCACGGAAGACGAGTTGGGGAACGCGCAAAAGAGCTTTGTACACGTGTCTTTGCCCCAACGCATTGAAGCTCGAACCGTTTTACCGAAGGCAGGCGAACGTAATATTTTAATAACATCTGCGTTACCTTACGTGAATAATGTGCCACATTTGGGAAACATCATAGGCTGTGTGTTGTCCGCAGATATTTTTGCTCGGTTTGTGGCACAGTACTTTTGTTTAAAAAAAATAAATATAGCATGTGTTTTGTTGTTGTCCTTTGAAGATATTCCCGCGCAGCTGGTTACAATACTCTATATATATGTGGCACAGACGAGTACGGCACGGCAACAGAAAACAAAGCATTAGCTGAGAATCTCAGTCCAAAACAAATATGTGACAAATACTTTGATTTGCATAATTCTATCTATCGCTGGTTTGGCATTGGTTTTGATTTCTTTGGTCGCACCTCATCGCAGCAACAAACTGAGTAAGACTATTCATATTTGAAAAAAGACCTATTAATAAAATGTGGTTGTTTCAGAATTGTGCAAGAAGCGTTTCACGACGTTTACAACAACGGCTATATATTCACCGAGAGCGTTGAGCAGCTACTTTGTGTGAAATGTGATAGATTTCTGGCCGATCGGTATGTATTTAAATTGCTGGTGAAACTCTGAAAAACATTTTGAAATTCTTTATGGTGTTAGCTTCGTAGAGGGCACATGTCCTCATCCTGGTTGTGGATATGAAGACGCACGTGGAGATCAATGCGATAAGTGTGGCAAGCTAGTTAATGCTACCGAACTAATTCGACCACGTTGCAAAATTTGTAACAGCGCTCCTGTACTACGATCCTCTGACCAACTCTTTCTCGACTTGCCCAAAATTGAACCACAACTGCGTGTGTGGTTGGAGGGCTCCGAAATGGGCTGGACAAATAATGCGCGCGTAATTACTCGTTCCTGGCTACGAGAAGGTCTAAAACCGCGCTGTATTACACGTGATCTGAAATGGGGTATACCTGTGCCGCTTGCTGGCTTCGAAAAGAAAGTATTCTATGTGTGGTTCGATGCTCCATACGGTTATATCTCAATGACGAAGCATTACACCAGTGAATACAAACAGTGGTGGATACCGTCAAAGGATGTAAAAGTAGAGCTTTTCCAGTTCATGGCCAAAGACAATGTTCCTTTTCACTCTGTTGTATTCCCATCGTCACTATTGGCGACCAACAAGGGTCACACCATGGTAACTAATATAATGGCGACAGAGTATTTGAACTACGAAGATGGTAAATTCAGTAAAAGCCGTGGTATTGGTGTTTTTGGCAACGACGCTCAGGTAAGACTCAAAAGTTTTTTTTTATTCATCTTTTGATGTAATAAAAATTAATTTTTTAATTAGCAAACTGGTATTTCTGCTGATATATGGCGTTTCTATCTTGCCTCGGCACGGCCCGAAGGTCAAGACTCCAGCTTCAGTTGGAATGACTTGGCTGCGCGTAACAATTCCGATTTGTTAAACAATTTGGGTAATTTCGTGAATCGTGCCTTAGTCTTTTGCGAAAAGAACTTTAATTGCGTCGTGCCTACTATGACTTTAACAAAGGATGAGCTGATACTGTTGGCACTCATCAACCGCGAAGTACGAGGCTATATCAACTCACTTGAAAAGGCTAAATTGCGAGACGGCATACGGCATTTGCTTTCGATCTCTCGTCACGGCAATGGTTATATGCAGTCTCAGCAACCATGGGTGCTACTAAAGGGCACCGATGTGCAGAAAGCACGAGCTGCCACCATCATTGGTATTTGCGCCAACATCGCAGCGCTTCTTGCCAATTTAATGTTACCATACATGCCTACAATTGCACGTACACTTTTCTCACAGTTAAACGCTAAACCCACCCCACTAAATCCAGAGTAAGTACTAAAAAATATTTTATTTAAAATTTTATTTCAATCGGGAATTAAATATTTGTAGAAAACCATTTATCAACATGCTTCTGCCTACTGGTCACAACATTGACAAACCAGCACCCTTATTCACTAAACTAGAGCAGAGTTTTATTGAAGAGCTGAAAAAGAAGTTTGGCGGTGTACAGGATCAAAGCAACGGCAGCCAGCCGCCATCGACAACAACCAATACAAATTCGACGACTGCCAAGCCCTCGGCACTTCCTAACGGCACACAGTCAGTGGCTCAGTTGGAGGAAGCTGTGCGTTTGCAAGGCGAAAAAGTGCGTCAGCTAAAGGCGACAACGAAAGACAAAGCTGTTTGGCAACCCGAGGTAAATGTTTTATTGGATCTCAAAAAGCAACTGACTGCCGCTCAAGCAGCTCCTCCAATTGCAACTGCAGCTATGGCGACGCCAGTGGCCAGCAGCGAAAAAGTTAAGGAACTGGAACAACGTATTACGCAACAGGTGGGAAAACCGCATTGCTTTTAAGTAGTTTTTTTTTTTGTAAATAACAACATTTTTTTTGGTACTTACAGGGCGAAAAAGTGCGCCAATTGAAAGCAAGCGGTGATGCCAGCGTGTGGAAACCGGAAGTTGAAATACTGCTGCAACTAAAAAAGGATCTTGCAGCACTCACAGGCGCACCACAACCTGCGACACAGGCTAAAAACAAAAAGAAGAAATAGATGATGATTATTGTAACAAGATAATCCAGCATCACCACGCAATCAAGCAATTTCCGTTTTTACATACGCATATGAATGTATAATTTACATTCTGGATGCGTGTTACACTCAGTTGCTCATATCAAAATATTACTTGTAGGAATTATTTGACTGTAACCTCATTTCAATTACGCTTTTATCTGAAGGCTGGTTCAACTCAAATGGTTGCTTTCTCTTGATATTCTTAATTTTATTACTAATTAATTTATTTAAGTGTGCTGGTTACATAAAGTATTTGATTTAATTAAATATTGGCTCGTAGTATATTTTACACACCCCTTAACCATTAACAAGAATCATATTTATAATTTACATGGCTTGATTACTCACAGAAAGTATTGTATTACTTCTTTGTCTATAAAAGTGAATTCAATAAATTTGGTAAGACATTGCATTAAATGGAATTGTTGTTTCTTATTTTTTAATTCACATCCCTAATGCTGGTTGCAAATCGACTTAGTGGAATTGAAATTAAAGCAATACAACTAATTTCGGTAAAAGTATCCTTGATGCTGCCAACCTGAAAAAAAATTGCCACAAATCCTCCACATCATTTGTATCACCTCCCCTCGAAGAAGGTAAGTAAGGAGTCAAGCAGAAAGGGGGCAGCTCGGCGACAATTCCTCTCGGGCCCGCTGCTCTACTATAATGTTTTGCAGATTTTCTTCTGCAACAGTTCGCTACAGTCATTCCGGTGCCTCAGTTTTCTCTCTACGGCCCTGTCAGTGATGGCCAGGTTGTCAGTATCTGCATATGTCAAAATGAAACTTATTGTCGCATATTTTTGGTCTCTATTAAATTTATTACATTTGTTTAAAATAAGTATATACGTATGTACACTGAGTTTTTACAATTACTTAAATTTAAAACAATTATGTATGGTATGTAGTATTTTATAAACAAATTCGAAAGTTATTAAAAAAGATTGCATTCTGCAAGATATTGCCTTACACGTGCGTGCTTGAGCCGAAGTTAGCCGAAGTTAGTATAGGAGCGATAAATAGGCTTAGCTTAACTAAAAATGGGACTTAACTAACAGTTACTTTGACTTACTTAGGAATGATTTTAAATACAATAAATTAATAGTATCGTTTTATTTCATTAATTCTTATTTACAGCTACATATTCTCTTAACGACTAGTTCTTAAGGCATATTACAAGAATTGAAGTGACCCTCCGTTTTTGAAAGTTCAAAATTCAACCAAAGCGTTCGAGACGACTTTCGAATGCATTACTACAAGCAGGCATATTCATACATACTAACATTATACATACATACTAGTTGTTATACGTAGTATTTAAACGATAACGGAATTATTTCATGTAGTAACTACTTGGAGCTCGTCCGGATGTGTAGGTGCTCATTGGTATGCCTTGTGGTCCCGGTATGTGATTGTTGCCACTGTGTGAGTGAGAGTGCGTGTGTGAGTGAGAGGATGATTGATTTTGTGAACCATACAAATGATCTACACTCGTGTTACCGATGCCATTGCCTGATGGCTCGTAATCTACGTCATAGTAGATGCCCGACTGATTCTGTGGAAAGTATCAAAGCATACGAGATTTTGTTTGTCAAATGTAAAATACTGGTAATTGAGGTATTGCATGAATTAAATCGGATTCAACAAATGACACGTAACAGCATGAGCTACATTTTGGGTTAATGGAGTTAACACATTACATTGTCGAAAAAAATTGACTTAAAACCTATTCAGTTTTAGAAACGGACATGCCAACACAGATTACAAAGACGAGACCTTTTCAACTTTACAACTAATATAATCGAAATCGACTCCATTTTCGCATCTCATTGGTGATGTAGACAAATTTATGTCACCACTAGTTGAGGCTTTACAAATTTACCGAAGAACTACCATTATTTTACCATAAATATTGGTTTCTCCTAAAAACTTACCGCTATGCTTCCATTACTTCTACTCTTTGGTCGCGGAACTTGAAAGTTTCGGCCAAGCAAATCAGCTCGATCCTCTTCCTCACTTGAGCTGGAATTCTCCAAAGTTCGCATGCCATTCGATCGTGCACTCAACCCCAGTCTTCTGGAAAAAAAAGTCAATAGTTATAAGAGCAAGCAGATTGGTTTGATATGAAACAACTTTTTATTCGTATTTGAGGAATTGTCTGAGGGGTATACACACTCATACCGTGGCAGAGGAACTGGTGGAGCCATACTGCCAGCCTGATGCATTTGCATGGTGCCCTGCATCGACATGCCTCCCATAGTGCCCATACCCATAGATTGTAGATTCGGATAAGCGAACATTGCCGACGATGGGCGTGTGGGTCCCACTGGTTCGGCCTGGAAGGAATATTGCGGCTTTAGACAAATAAGTTTCGAATATTCATACAACACATGCTATTACAGAGCTACTATTGCCGCAGCTAGCCTCTGTAATTTCTCTTCGATATACTCACAATCGGACTTACCCCGTAATGGTTTGTTTGTGCCATTACATCAGCGATCTGTGCCCAACGCATACGGTCCTCCAATGTCACTTGGTAGCCTGGTTGTCCCGGAAGGCCAGCGGATTTCATTGGAGCCGTATTCATGTAACCAAAGACTGGCGAACCAATAGCGTTCTTTTGTTCACGTTGCCAACGACGGGACCACATTATTAGGCAGACCAAAGTCAACACAATAATAACAACGGCTGCCAAGGAAGCTCCAATGGCTACACCCAAAACTTCCCCGTCGATCTCACATTGTGCGCCATAATGGCTAGAATCGCAAGCACAAACTTGATTTCCTTCTTCATTGTAACTGCAAGTTCCACGATTGTTACAGTATGAGTCCGGACAAGATTGACAGTCGCGACCAGCGCGCTGTGGTTGATCGGCCCATGGATCACGGAGACCTACTTCGCAAGCACAACGGAAACTTCCCCATGAGTTAGAACATAACGCACTCGCATGACAATCATTTAACTCGCGGGACTGACATTCATCCAGGTCGTGTAAGGCCGTTATGGAGCCCTCCGGCGAAGACACGTATAGAACAGAGTTACCAATATTATTGTTTCGTCGGTGCAGTACGCCCAACAAATGTTTTTGAACATCAGCGCGTAGATTTGGTCGCAAAGTTTCCACACTTTCGTCAAGCTAAGGAACATTTTTAAATTACTGATAGATCTGGAAGCCTGGCATTGCCTATTGATTTATACTTACTTTGATGGTCATGTTCACAAAGACAGCGCTGCCACCCAGATTTGGATCACCACGGTAAATATTGTTAACTCGTGCATCCATGAACTCATCCGAATAGGGGGTCATCGACATGGCCGAATCAATCTGAAAGCAAAAGGTCAAATATTATGCTTCGCATGTTGTAAGGGGTTTGTGTGGCTTTGTGTTGTATATTACTGCTCTAATCGACTCGTAGCTCAGTTGTCCATAGGGCTCGCTATGTTTATCCAAAAGTTTATTATCCCACACAATGCGATGCTCATAAATACGGTCCACACGCATGCCCAGATAAAAAGATATAACCTTCCTGCAGGGTTCTCGATGCTTGCGACGCGAATATCCTATATAAGAAATAGTTATAGAACGAGTCTTAAACATATTTAAATTTATTACTTACCGGGTCTGCAATGACAGCTAGATACACCATTCTCGGTCTTGCAACGTTCATGTTGTGCTTGATCGCAGGTCGAATCATCACCCACAATGCAAGTGTCGATGCGCACAGGTGGTTGTGTTGGTCGCGAACGATAGTGAGGTCTCGTTGGTCCAGAATTAGTAGTAGACGATTGTGGTTTTGCGTTATTGGGCTTTGTGGGCTCCAAATCTACAACCTCTGTTTCGGGTATACCATATCCTGATCCTAGACTGGGTAAGTTGTTCTGAGTAACTGCATTACCTGCACCGGATCCAACATTTCCACTGCCATCAATACCATTACCATTACCAGCACCACTTCCCACAGTAACACCACTTCCAGGTAGTTGTGGTACTGCCGTCGCCGGCGTAGTTGGTACGCCTACGGGTGGATCTGTTGGTTCACCAAAGAGATTGATGTAAGTGCGCTTACCATCGATTGAAACAAAACCATCATCACCTGCAGCAGATAGTATTATATCGCCTTGTTGTCCACCACTGTTGCCGTAAGTTCCATATGGTTTAATATTAATCGTCTGCTGCGAACCACCTACGGACCCAGGACCTTGAATGGCCGATAGAGTTACGTCAAATATTTCCCCATAGCCAGGAGGCAAATGCTGTCGTGTTGGTTGAATATTATATGGTGGTTGTTGTTGCACATCACCGGGACGGGATTGAATTGGTCGTGGAGGCCGCGGTCGTCCACCCGGTTTGAATTCTGGATCATCAAGAACTATACCTGGTCGTGGTTGATAGTCAGATGGAGGTTGAGGCATTGGCGTGGGGAGGGTGTTAGTAGGGGTCGTCACGGGCGGGGCGACAGAGGTGAAGGTAGAAGATGTCGTAGTTGATAGTCTGGCAGTAGTAGTGGTGGAAAGTGGTTTGGGAGTGGTATTAGTTGAAGCAGGTGGAATGGTCGCCAACAGTTCAGTACTGCTTGATGGGCTCAGCATAACCGGGCTCTGAATAGTATTTGGTAATGCTGTCGTGATAATGGAGTTTTGAGTTATTATTTCAGTAGATGAACTTGTATCATCCAGTTCGGAGCTGATCTCAAGTGTTGGTGTTTTACTAGGTGTCATGAAAATAACCTCTTCTGTAGATGGATCAATTATGGCACCTTCGCTAATCTCCATTGGCATTGGTGCATATGTTGAAGACTCAGTATGTACAGCGGAGTTGGTTTCGATTATTGCTGCAAAATCTTCTGGAGTGTGCTTCTTCTTGTCGGCGCCCTTATGTTTACTGGGTTTCTTCTTACTGCTTTGCTCATCTTTCTTTGCAGGCGGCGGGGATGGTGGCATTGGCGCTGTCTCTTCCTCTTCAAATTCGTCTTTTTCAACCGTCATAGGACCTTGATCAGCAGTTTCATTGGAGTCCTGATCAGATACCTCAATATATTGGGAATTTGTGTCCTCATTAGAAAACTCTGAATCGTATGTGGCGTCAGTTGGTTTAGGCACATCACCATTTGCATCGTTATAGTCTGGAGGGACGGAAATTTCCATTTCTCCTGAGTGCTGGGATGATGTCATCTCAGGCATGTCTTTGACAGGGGCAGCAGACTCCTCAGCGACAGGAGGCGATAATTGTGTATTCGGCATTGGCTTATATTGCGGTATCGGACGTCTACCCCCAATAGCAGTAGTGATTGGAGGTCGTGGTTTCTGTCGATGCCATGGCGGACGTTGACTAATAAATCCTGGCCTCAATGGGACAATTTGCTCTGGAATCGGTACACCTGTAATAAATGGCCGCTCCGGCCGATCGAATGGCCCTGTATATGGCGGAGGACGAATAGATGAGCCTAATGGTTTCTTTTGCGTATCATAATCTATCGGTAATGTCTGCACATCGGATATACGAGGTGGTCCACGATTATTAATACGACTAGCAGATGGTCGCCGAAGTCCTTGTGTATTAGCATGAACGTTAACATTGCCATTCAGTAGCTTAACAATACCAGTTATTATATCCTGTATATCCGGATTAGAGTTTTGACGTGGATTATGCGGCAAAGCCGTGGCAGTGGCCGCCGTCGATATGGCAGTACTGCGCGTCGGGTTGATCGGGGACCCCGACGTAAACGGTCGCAGGCCCCCTTTCGCTAAAAAAGACTCCGATACTAAAGTTGTGGCTGGCAAGAGCGTAGACGCAATGCCATTAAAAGAAGGCTTCAATGTTTTGCCAACGCGAGCGCCTTGTGTCCGCTCCGGCGTTTCTGAGGTGCCATCATTGAGTGTACTTGTCGGTTTAATATTGTATTGGAAGTAATGACCAGCGCTAGCTTCTTTCTCCGTATCGCTGGGGAAATGCACATCATTTGGCCCAGATTTTGGATAGTTTTCATTCAATATCGGTTGTGCAGAACGTTTCATGCGTATGTGCTGGCGTGTTTCATTGTCATCACGATCAATGTCGCCGTCACGTGTTAGTAAACCCGCAGCAACATTACGAGTATTTGTATCAGTAATCGTACTCTCGAGCACTAATTTCGGGGAAGTGTGCAAAAGCAGAGGAACCCCAGACATCATATGACTACTGGATTTTGGGGATATTTGTGAAATAGATGGACCTGCGTACATGTCTTGTCGACATTCTAAAAGAAAGCAAAAGAAATAAGAAATATAGTCACTGCGTGGATAGAGGTTCAAATGAAGCAAAATTTTTCAATGTAAAATACATCATTCCACCAGAAAAAGTTCGTAATGGAGCTAAGAAAGCGCGCCTCTTACAAAATTGCCTTATGTACTTATACGGATACTAAGTGGAATATTTTGTAATTCTGGAATAGTAAAGTCACAAAATAAGTTTGTGAGCGCAAACGATAATAAAAGTTAGAATATTTGAAAGAACTGGTACCGTGTCTGTGTGTGTGCAGTCATACGAAAATACCTTCAAATTGTAGCTCTCACAAGCTAGTCATTCAAGCACAACTAATTGAATGTTAAAGACAGTAGAACTTGAGTTGGTTAATACCTAATTACTACATTACAAAATCAAAATGGTTTACATCGGAGATCAGGCTTACTGAGTACAAGGAATATATTACGTATATATACACCATTTTCCTTATTTCATTTAAATCCTTATATCTTCTGGGTATAAGTGGTCTTCAAGTTTTAACCCAAAGACATTTTCGTTTTTAGTCTTTAACATGTATTATGGGTTCAGCCTCAGTTGTGTTTCTGCAAAGCTATTCGATAAAAGTTAGAACTGCAGCCGCCAAGTGAAAGTTGAAAAAGTGAAGATGTTCTGTACACGGCACATAACATGATCTTTCATACTTTCTTCATAGCGAAATCTTTTCACCTGCCACAAAAGCCCACATTTTCGTACATGTACAATATCAGTATCAAGTGAATTTTTATTGCTATTGCTATTCCTCGATTCTCTTCGCTCACTCGTTCTTACACTTCACTTATAGCTGCACGTCCTCATACACACACATAGATGGCTCCGTGCACATAGCTTCACGCGTGTGTACGATTTTTATTAACACTTCAATTTACCCTACCCCTCACCATCTCGGCGGCTTCGATTCTTTAATTCAATAGTGTGCAGTGTGACTATCACATTACTTCGGAGTGGCAGCGAAGATGGCGTAGAGATAATCTGGCGTGCACTCGAGCTGAGCGTCGAACAAGCTGACAACAGCCATTTGTGGCATTGTGGCAGAGTGGCATTGCCTGCAGACATCAAAAGACGATGTTAATCTGATTTACAACGCACAGTGATATGGCGGCCAGAATTACTGGGTATCTTCAAGAGCAAGGCCGCCAGCTCACAAATAAAAGCACGTACTTAGACATTTCTCTGTCTTAAAGCATGTGTTCAAAGTGCCAAGACAATAGCGCACAAATAAACTTAGCCACCTGATACATACAAACATAAGTGCTTATGCATTCCTTTGTACGAAAATAAAGTGATATGACAATGTTTGTTTACTGTATTTGTTTGCACAGTTGGATTTCACTTTTCGAAGCAACAAAAAATCGCTCCTTGCTTAGATTTGAATGCGATTTTCATCGCCTTTTAAAGTTTCAGTTTACATGTAATATGTATTTGTTCCACCACTTATAAGTGACATTCATCACATGGTATCCGTGACAATGGCGAAATATGTGGCACATGGCACAGTTTGGAACTGTGACGAAGGAAGTTGCTCAAAGTGTCTTCGAGTAATACAATACCGATAAAATATGGCAAATGTTTAACCTTAAATTTGAGATTCATTATTAAATTCAAATTCCAAGTTCAAACCTCAAAGCGGCTCTTCGTGCTCTAAAGATTTTAATGAAATTGATGTGGCAAGTTCGTTACTGAAGTCTTTTGTTCGCTCAATGTCATAGCAGCGATGCAGTATGCAATAAGAAGCTTTTTTTAAATTCTTTTGTTTTTCTATTTTTTGAAATCGCATCTTTATTTAGTGTAGAATTAATTTAAGCAACAAATTATTCACAATTTCGAAAATTATAGCACAGTTATCGTCCCAAGCGGTGAGTTTCTTTTGTACATTTATAAATCTTTTGTGCAGAGTTATCGGCACGTTTCACGTTAAACACTTAGTTTAAATAAAATCTAATTTTATTTACAAACTTTTGCTAATTCTCTCTCTGACAATTAAATAGATATATTATTGGATCATTTGCCTTTTATATTTTTAAACAAATATTCCATATTAAGGAGACGCTATAAGTCACAAGTAATTTCAGCTGCTTCTCCTAATTATCAGCATTATTGTTTTAAGTATATTCACCACTTTTATTAAATATTCCGACAATTTCAGGCAATCTTCACTTGAAATGCATTAACATGGGCTTTTGCCAACCACAGTGCCGGCAACCGCAATACCATCCACGTCGGCAGAAGTGAAGTAGTTGGAGCATAGGAAAAAGTAAAAGCATGCCGTAGCCGCAAGAAGTTATGGAATGACGCGTAGTGAAGCGTTTAAGAAATGCAATCATTTTAAATTAATTTTTTTTATAAGGAAAATGAAAATCATTGAAGCAATTAAATGAGAGGAAAAGTGAGATGAATCGACAAACGCATCGACACACATACATGCACATACTCTGTGTGTAGCATATCTGTTAATAGTTTCATTTTCAATTTTGGAATTGGAAAAAGGAGCTTGCGGAATGCATAACACAAACAAAAATAAACTATATTAATCGAGTTTTTAAAAGGTAAACACTTTCACAAAATCACCGGCGAAGTCGATAAACATACGAGAGAAAATGATCACTTGACAAATCTGCGCCGCCTTTGCGATAAGCGTGCTCACGTATACCATATGTATATGTATCTATATATATTTAACGGTAAACTATTTTCGTTTACTTGTGTCAATCTATGTACAGTTATGCGTGTTGGTGGGTGTGTGTCAGCAAGTGGTCTAATTGTTGTTGAGCGCCAGTTTAGAGCCACTTAAATAAAGATAAAAGTGTTCGCTTGCTGCTTACAAGTAAAGTGTAACAAAAAAAGTAAAAATAACGCAACAACTTTTACTTTCTTTAAGGCTTCGCACAACTTGTCTTAAGCTAATATCTGCCATATAACAATGCCCACAAGCTTTACAGAGCTGACGCCGCCGCCACTGCTGTTGAGCAACAGTGCTGCTCATGTGAGACCGTTATACTAATGTGTTTGCAAAATATTTGACTTTGCAATTTATAAACTGCTTAAATGTGCTTCAACGCTTTGGCATACACAAATCATTGTATTCGCCATAATTTCGGATTGCGTTGCCCAATTTTTTCTGCCAAAAGTTAAGACTTGAGGGTTCGTCGACATCCAGCTGTCGAGACATTAGTTCCACCGCTTGGCTTAATTAATACCCAAATTATACGCTTGGCATGTATGTGTTTGTAAATACAACAACAAATGTGACTGCATATAAAAACATAGATAACCACCAGCGCGCCACATTATGAACCCGTAACGGTGAAATAAGCCAATACTCAACAACCAGCATGTATGCAACATTCAGGCAGACTCCGCACATACGTGTATGTAAATGTGTGTGCCCCGAAAAACACTTTCTATTTCTATAGCTCATAAGGTGTACAACGTAGCTCATTCGCTCGCTGACTGCAACTTCCTGTAACGGAAAACGATTAGCACAACAAGCGCTCAAGTCAAAAACACCAAAAACCAAATTACTTAAAGTTAGCAAGCGGTGAAGGTGATTGGCCGAGCACAGTAAAATTGAGCAAAACCGAAATGTATCGGGAGGCTCGCAACTCGTCGTAAAAGTCGAAACACCGTGAAATCAAATCATATATTCGTGATGGCGACATAAAATAATTTCGACAAAAGGGAAGCCGAAAGTGGCTTGCAACACCTAAGTGATGGCTGGAAAATGGCACAGCATAGGTAATGCGAACGGCAATTAGTCACAGCCAGCTCACGCTGTCGGCGCCAAAAACACAATACACGCACGCACGCATACACATATGACTAATCAAATTGCTGCTTTTGACGACAGCAATTACGAAACACTTATATGGCTGCACTTATGCACAGTAAACGTTCGAAGTCAAGTATTGTATAAGAAAATTGGGCGCATGCGCACCCTGCAGGAAATTTCAATGCTATTCAAGTCTGGACATAACGACTCTCTCTAAGTAGATTTCTAATCTCGTAAGTGTTCAAGAAGAAACAGCAAGCTACATAAGTTAATGCAATTAGAATGGACTGCCAGCTTGTGAAACTGGTATTATGTGGTCACATTTTTTTATACCCTGGACATGGTATATTAAGTTAGCCACGAAGTTTGCAACACACAGAAAAAATCGTCGGGACTATATTAAATATATATACATTATATATTATCAGCGTGCCGTTCGATTCAGTCATATCCGTCGCTCCATCCGTTAGCATATATGCGAGCTAGTCCCATAGTTTTTGAGATATCGATCTAAAATTTGGCACACCCTTTTCTGCTCAAAAAGCTGCTGCTTGTCGGAATCGCGAATACCGAAACACTATATTATTTGGCACATGTTGTTCAGATCGGGACACTATTGCATATAGCTGCCATAGAAACTGATCGATCAAAATCAAAGTTAAGACTTTTTTATACCATTTTATGCTGCCGAAGTTAACGTTGTTTTGTTTTATTTTATTTATTTAAAATTTTTTTCTTGTTTTTTACAGCATTCTACGACCTTTTTTGCCCGCCTGCATTGCATGCGCCAGCAGAAAATGGAATATTTGGGAGGAAGACATATATTAAATTTGCTTTCGCTGCTTTTGCAGTTATTGATCGAAACAAAAGAAGCCGTTAGGTTTTCCCTTCAGGGTACCTCAGCGTAGAGGTTAATACGTAAGTACTTAAGCTTATGCGTACAAATGTGTATTGTTTTTGTTGTTTTTGTTGTACGCCAACAACGCCACTTGGCACCAGCTATTAGTTGATAATTACGAAATTAATTCAAAATGCGTGTTTATGGACGCAAGCAGACTTTTGATTTTTAATAATTTTACAAACATACCGCCAGCCGCATAACTGTCTATGCTAAAGCTACTCACTGACATTTGCACACCTTTGCACATATATGTAATTGAGTAACACATGTTAAGTGCAGGTACTTT